AAGAGCGTCTGCAGGCGTTCGGACTCAGACCACAAAGTGGTTTTAATTGTGCTTTGTTTTCTTCTCTTGATAGGATAAAGGAAATACGTATAGTGATCTTCACTGGAGTGTTGGAAGCCTGTGTGTCCACAGGCGATGGCACAAGTGCTGGTATCACAAGTGCTCGAAAAGCTGCCTGAGATGCTCTATGTGCAGATTACTCAGTAAAGGAGAATCAGCAGAGCAGTGGTCAAAGGCCAAATGGTGGCTGCAGGCAGCAGCAGGCTGAATAGGCCACTATTCCTGTTTTTCACTTCAATCTGATGGGAAACTCCGAACCAAGTCCTCTCCCATGGGTAGTCCCTGCACGGACACCAAGCTCTTCAGCCCCTGGAGGATTCCCCTGACTAAAGAAACCTTTCTGTGCCCATTTCTTTTGCTGAACGCTTCACCAAAGCACCCATCAGCATTGCAAGTCTCTTTTCGGTTCCCTTTTCAGTATATGAGCTGCCAGAGTGAGCAGCCTCTCCCAAGAGCAGTTACCCCCTTGTCCCTCAGGCTCTGATAAGCAGCGGTGCCATGGCTGTCCTGGCCACAGCTGCCCCAGGAGGCAGGAGCATCTTCCAGCAGAGATAAACCCAGCTTTCCACGTCTCTAATGCACACTGGGGTCTAGTCCTTGCTGAATTAATCAGGGATTAATCAGTGGTGACGAGGGTGAGGGGAAGAGACCAAAAAACTCGTGCTCCTGGTTTGCTGTGGCCCAGCTGCGCTTGAGCCCCTTGGTCAGAAACGGGTCCTGCAGCTGTGCATGGATAATGCATGAGCTGCCAAAAGCACAGGCTGCTCACAAACGCTTGGGCCAGCTCCTCTGGTTCACTACAAGCTCTTTTCCTCCAGCACGCCTCCCTTCCACCTCACTCACGTGGGCAGTCAGAGCTTACACACAGCCCAGTACCAAAACACAGCAGTGAGGCAGCCCAAGGGCAGAGGGATGCTCCTTTTGCACTGTGACCCTGAAGGATGGCACGGCTGAGCTCTGGGAGGGTGGAAAGAGCTGGAATTCAGCATCGCAAAACCCTCAGATCCACAGCAAAACAGAGTGGCTCAGGTCAGCTCTGCCACAGCGAGCATCTGCCCGCGCCTCAGCGGTGCCAGGAAATTCAAAGACGCTTTAACTGCAGTGAAAGAGCTCAAGCTGTGCCAGTAAACATTTCTTCCTGTTTGCTTCTTTAATCTGTTCTCAAAAATGGTGAAAATGATGAAATCTAACACTAGAAAAAGAAGACACGGCCACTGAGAAGCAGCCGAGGATTTACCTGTGCGTTCAGCTGGAGTCCCCGCGCAGCTGAAGAAAGCCGAGCTAAATAAAATCTAGATACAGGTAATGCCACTGATTAGAGTTGAGTTCAGGAGTCGGAGTAGAAGTCGGATAATCTAAAACCCCAGGCTATCTCAGAGATTAAGACTGCAGAAAACAATCAGATACCTCCATGTCTGACCTGAGACAGCTGAAGCTAAGAAAATAGCTTGGTTGGACAGTAGAGATGCATGGGACAATCTGAATAGAGGGGGAAAACAGCCTGTAGTTCTGGACTTCACCAAAAAATGGAGAAGGCAGCTCCATCTAACTGGAATTACACAGGTACGGGGAGAAAATGCCAAGGAATAGGGGAAGAACTGCCCAGGACATGGATTTCCACAGCTACTGCAGCCGGCAGCAGGACAGGGGGCAGGCAGCCTGCCCTGGGCTGTGTCTGCAGTGGTGCAGGGCCCCTGTGCTCAGCAGAACTCACCCAGCTCTGCTCTGGGATGGCGCCTTGCAAAGTCCAGCCACCAAAAAACCTACAGAAAATTGGGGAATGTAAAGGGTGTCCCAACACTTGAGAGGACTGCAGACCTGCTGCATCTCCCGTCTTGCCATCCGGCGAACATTTATGAGAAGCAGGGTTGTGAAACCCAGATAACGTGAAGCAGAACATGAAGCTGGAACTGGAAAAAGGCAGCACAGGAGGTATTTAAGTAACACAAAACTCTCACTCGTGATCTCATCAGATTTGGTTTCCATTGTTTGGGTTTGGCCACCTGGGTCTCCCCCTCTGTGGGCGTAGAGAAGTAAAACCCCGGAGCAAGGCGCAGAAGAAGAAGGGCAGCTCTGCACAGCCTGTCCTCAGCCCTGCCATGGCTGCTCTGCAGGGCCTGGCTAATGGCAGGAGCAGAATCACAGCATCACAGAATCCCAAATGTCAGGGGCTGGAAGGGACCTGGAAAGCTCCCCCAGTGCAACCCCTGCCAGAGCAGGATCACCAGAGCAGTCACACAGGAACACGGCCAGGGCTTTGGGTGTCTCCACACAAGGAGACTCCACAACCTCTCTGGGCAGCCTGGGCCATGCTCCATAACCCTCACCCTGACAAAGTTTGGCCTCATCTTCAGCTTGAACCTCCTGTGCTCCAGCTTGGGACCATTGCCCCTTGTCCTGGCATTGGCCATCCCAGAGCAGAGCCTGGCTCCTTCCTCCTGACACTGCCCTTTCCCAATGGATCACCAGGAATGAGGGCACCCCTCAGTCTCCTCTGCTCCAAGCTCAAGAGCCCCAGCTCCCTCAGCCACTCCTCAGCAGGAGATGCTCCACTCCCTCCATCACTTTGTGGCCCTGCTGGACTCTTTCAAGCAGTTCCTGTCCTTCTTGACCCGAGGGCCCAGCACTGGACCCAAGATTGCAGCTGTGGTGTGAGCAGGGCAGAGCAGAGGGGCAGGAGAACCTCTCTGCCCTACAACCACCCCTTCTCATCCAGCCCAGGATGGCGTTGGCCTTCTTGGCTCAAGGGCACATTGCTGGCTCATGGGCAACCAACGCCCAGGTCCTTTCCAGCCACTCGTCCCCTGCAGCGTCCATGGGGTTATTGCGACCCAAGTGCAGGACCCAGCACTTCACAGGAGCCGGGCTCCTGCTCTTGGAGTCTTGCAGATTCCTCCTCTTGGCCTAGCAAAATGCACACAGCACCCAGCACCTCAGGGGAGCAATCATGATCCCAAGAGCTCAGCACCTCACTCACTCCCTGCTTTGCTTCCATGGGTTAAAGCCAAGAAAACCAGCAGTATCCACCCCTTATAAACTAAGGGGTTTAGCCCTTTCTTCAGCCTTGGTGAGCTCTAGGAGAGTAAGATGAAGGTTTTGGTTCCCTATCAGAGTTTTCTTATCTGGGACCTGGAAGGTCTATAGACAGGAAGGGTAATGCTTGCAGGATCCAGGCTTGTTTCTCTTTCCATTCGAGCTGGACTCCACTGACACCAGTGGAACCACTCCAGTTCCCAGTGCATTAGTGGGAAGGAAAGCGGGCGTTTAAAACAGAGCTATGCACCAATATGTGCTTGTTGCCACAAACGACTTGTGCCTGACAATCCTGTGGGTGTCATTTATGCATTAACCAGATTATGCACTTAATCGCTTAGTGCATTTTTTGTTGTGTTTCTTTCCAAACAAAGCACAAAAAAAATAATACTCCACAGACTGCAACCGCCCACGGGGAAGCTTCACTGTCAGAGCTGTGTCTTTTATATAGATCTCACATCTGTGGACCAAAGCACAGGTCATGAGATCTAAATATAACAGTTTGGAGGGGAAGCCAATTTCCTATGCCAGAGTTTTAGGTTCTGAATGCACGCGTGGGGAACCCACATTGGACTGCCGTGTTGCAGCATCGTGCTCTGATTTCTGAAAGCAGCCTCTGGGTACCTGAAGAGCCCTTTGCAAAGAGCTGTTAGCAGTTTCTTCAGCTGAGGAAGGTTGCTCGAGCCCGTCTGCACCATCTCGAAGTCACTGGTGATGTGAACGCGCAGGTAATCCTGGATGAGTTTCAGGTGCTCGTCAGAGACGCTGCGAAAGAAGCAGACAGGTCAAAGCCAGCTCTTCCCTCTGCTCCCAAATGTCAGCTTTATTCCTTTCCTGAAACTCCCACTGCCAGCACAGATGGGGGCAGTTTGCCTTGGATCTCGGTGTAAATACACAGCTCTCAGAGCTGGACCATGGATCCCCCACCGCACTGCTGACCCCTTCTCCTCTTCCTCCTCCCGCACCCCAAATGCTCTCCTCTGCGACTGCTGAGCTACCACGACAGATGCCAAAGTCATGGTGGGATCACAGACATCAGCAGGTAAAGCCTTTATTATGAATGCTTTGAGGCCTCTGATAGCAGCTCCAGGGAGGTGAAGACTCCCTTTTTCCTCACCAAGTATCATCACTCTGAGGGTTTTATTCCAAACCATCCCAAACAGTCATGGGGGAGGCTGAGACCACAGAGCTGTACAGGATGCTCCCCCATCCCTGTCTCTGTGGTGTTGGGACCCTACATCACAGAATCACAGGAGGTCAGGAGTTGGAAGGGCCCTGGAAAGTTCCCGCAGTGCAACCCCTGCCAGAGCAGGATCACCAGAGCAGTCACACAGGAACACGGCCAGGGCTGTGGGGAAACACAGAGTCGGGCTGAAGGCTGATTCTGCAGCCCTGCTTCTTGCTATCCTCACCTGCTGGTGTCCTGGTACTGCAGCCGCTGGAGTAGTGTCTCGGAAAGGGACAGCTTGTTCACGTCTGCCACCCGGGAGTTTTCGGGGAGAGCAGGGACCTCCTTTGCCTCGCTGCTCGGCAGTGACATGAGGATGTTGCGCGGGGGCAGGATAGGAGGCGTGGGTACCAGGTCTGGAAAGGAGGAAGAGAAAGGCACGGTCACCCCAGCATGGCGATTCCACCTCCTCCCCTCGCCCACAGGCAGGGCACAGTCGGTCGCTGCAGAAACCAGGCCTTCTGGAGGAGCTCTGATTTTGGAGAGCTCAGGACTCGATACCGGAGCAGCCCTGTGGTCAGGGATGTCAGTGTCAGGACCAGGCTGGACCTCGTGTGCAGGCAGCGTGTGCCTGCCCAGCAGCACAACCTCATCAATGTGAGTGTCCTGTCTGCACAGCAGCTGTGGAGGTTGACTTGTTAATTGGAGTGTAACACTTAGAGAACGTAGCTGTACCTCACCCACATCATCACCGTTATCTGCTGGAGCAGAATGGGTGCAGGGGCACAGTGGGAAGAGCAGCAGAAGCCGCTAATGGAGAGCAGCAAACAGCTAAAGTAAACACAGATGGAGAAAATAGACCCCATAACTCAATACAGAGGGCTCAGTGTCCTGCCTTGTCGTGGGGGCATCATCACAAAGGGTTTTCCTGCCCTGTCATCCTGCTGCTCAGCACACTTCCATTCTCCTGGGCTCATCTCCATTTATCCCAATCACGGCTGCCTTTCTTTCATACCAATTGCCCCACTGTGCTGTTACACCTGTCACGTGTTGCTGGTTGAGCTGTGAAGCTGTGTTTTCTTACCTCCTAACGGTGGAACTTTCATTACACAAAGATATCCAGAGCTGATCCCTTACTCCTGGGCACAGCTCAGGGAGCCACCGCAGTGCCGAGCAATGGCACAGCCGGGGGTGCATCTGCAGGGGGTCTGGGTGCTCATCGCCCACCTCTGTCGCTCCACTGTGTACCCTCAGACATCCACAGGCCCTGCGTGGCTCCAGCACCACGGCACCAAAGTGCCTTAATGAAATTAAACTCCATACTTGAGCAGCTCAGCCCCAGTGCCAACATCTCTTCATCTAAAGGCTCTCAGTCTTGGCTAGATCGTCGTTCCCCGCTGCTCGCCTCTCTGTGCGTTATTCTTGCTGTAGGTCCCTCCCCCGTCCTGAGAGCTGGAGGCTCAGTGCTGCTGGCCAAAAACCAGGAACATCTTTCCTGAGCAGCCTCGCAAGGGAAATGTATTGTTTCTTCATGGGAGTCGCATGTCAAAACCCTTCAGCCCCTATCAGACATCCACTGGACTGCATGGATGTGCACAGGCACATCAGTCTGTCTGTCTGTCTGTCACAGGGACTCTGTCCTTCAGACACGTTTTATTGCCATGCTCATGGTTTCCGGACAGACGTCAGAGAGGACAGGAAGGACGGCTCTGTGGGCACGGCCTTCCCCTGGGATTTAGGAGAACAATGACAGATCCAAGGGGTGATCCAGGAAAAACCCAAGGAACGACCCAAAACCAGTGAGCATCAGGAACCCGCAGTGACATGTCATATAAAACAGCTGGGATGATGCCAACCACACCTCTCCATCACCCACTGCCTCTGTGCGTGGCGTTACGCTGTCTGCCACTGCAGGATCTGTTATGGCTGTCAGAAATGTCCTCTGGATCAGAGCAAAGGAGGGGCCCTGAGTTTCGGGTGACCCAGCACCCATGGCATCCAGGTGAGATGTGCTCCAAGTCCCCAGGGGAGCATCTCTGCTGCCGAGACAGTGGCCCTACAGATGCAGAGACACGGGAGGTGGCTGGACACAAACCAACTCGAGTCAGATGAAGGGCGATGGATCAGCCAGCCCTGCACCTGATACCATACACTTCTGCAGAGAGGCTCGGTGCATTCCCTCAGGTGAGCTACACTGGTGCATCATGAGGACTCATGGCCTCCGAGTCTTGCCAGCTCAGACCTCTCTGTGCCTTGCTCCATTCCTTGGCATGACGTGCTCTAATTCCCCTGTCTGCATGGCCTGTCTCCAGTCCAAAGTGCCAAGGTCTACATCACCCAGTCACATCATGGATTTCTTACCAGCGTCCTCCTCCGCTTCATCCGCAGCCTCCTCCTCTTCCCGTGGCACTGGGTATTTGAGGTGCCACACCAGACCCATGTTTTCCTTCTTGTAAAAATCTATCAGCTCCTCCAAGTTCTCGAAATACTTCACAGGAACACCCTCGGATGCCTGAAATGAAGCACAGAGGCTGTCACGGTCTGGGGTTTCCTACCACAGAGATGCTGTTCCTCGCAGGAGGAAAAACAGAGGCAGAGAGAGAAAAACCCCACTCCCTGCCCATCTGACCAGGGGCTCTGTGCAGAACGGCTCCTGCAGGGCAAGCAGATACGGGTACGCATGTTCCAGCCAGCGTCAGCAGAAACAGCAGCCTCAGAGAGTCACGGGAGACAAACGGAAGAGCCCTCTCGTTTTTGATTCAGCGTGCTTGGCTTCACAAAGAAAGAATTCTCCCAGGTTAATTTTTGCATTCCCTCTTTTACTGAGCACAAAACCACCGGACTGCATTGTATTTTGTGGTATTCTGGAAGAATTTCTCTGTGGAATAGCAAGATAGACATGTCTAAGTCTAGAGCACAGAATTGCAGGATGTGAGGAGTTGGAAAGGCCCTGGAAAGCTCCCCCAGTGCAACCCCTGCCAGAGCAGGATCACCAGAGCAGTCACACAGGAACACAGCCAGGGCTTTGGGTGTCTCCACACAAGGAGACTCCACAACCTCTCTGGGCAGCCTGGGCCATGCTCCAGAACCCTCACACTCACAAACTTTGGCCTCATCTTCAGCTTGAACCTCCTGTGCTCCAGCTTGGGACCATTGCCCCTTGTCCTGGCATTGGCCATCCCAGAGCAGAGCCTGGCTCCTTCCTCCTGACACTGCCCTTTCCCAATGGATCCCCAGGAATGAGGGCCCCGCTCAGTCTCCTCTGCTCCAAGCTCAAGAGCCCCAGCTCCCTCAGCCGCTCCTCAGCAGGAGATGCTCCACTCCCTCCAGTATCTCCTCTCTGTGGCCCTGCTGGACTCTTTCAAGCAGTTCCTGTCCTTCTTGAGCTGAGGGCCCAGCACTGGACACAAGATTGCAGCTGTGGTGTGAGCAGGGCAGAGCAGAGGGGCAGGAGAACCTCTCTGCCCTCCAACCACCCCTTCTCATCCAGCCCAGGATGGCGTTGGCCTTCTTGGCTCAAGGGCACATTGCTGGCTCATGGGATCTGCTGTCCACAGGATGTTAGCATCCCTCCCAGGATTCAATTAAACCAGCTAGCAAGGCACTCTCATGTAAAAAAACATGCTTGCTTTAGGAAGCTGAGGCTCAGGACACAGCCAGGACTGTGGTTGTGTCAGAAATGATACCGAGCTCGGCAGCCGAATTTTAACTGGGACCAAACCTGCTTCTAGCACAGCCCCAGCTGCTCAGCTCAGGAAACGGATCCTTGCAGCGAGCAAACGCAGAGATGAGGTTTTGGAGATCTCCAGAGGCAAAGCTTGAGAGCAATGACATCTCTGCATTGGTGTGAGTGGTCAATCCGATGGATTCAAAAGGCAGGAACAGCTGCCCCATTTGCCTCCAATTTGAAATAACTCGTTACACAGCCACACTTCAGACGTTTGCGTTTCTTTCTGGATTGCAATTGTTGGCTGTGAAAATCAACACACACCGTTTCAATACGAGTCTGAGCAGGCTTATTTATTTGCCATTTGCGTTTGCCCAGTTCCTGATTATCTGTGAACTTCTTTGTTTTAAAGGCAAATGTAGCAAAGCAAAGGCGTTAAACAGGAGAAAGGCAGCCAAACGTCTTCAGTGAATCCTAGCAACAACAGCATTGCTTTTAATTTTTCCTAAGGAGCAGCATCTCAGGCCTGAAATTAAGACAGTGCTTTAATACTGAGTCACATTTGAAGCCTTCAGCACCCTCAGGCCTGCCATAAAAAATACCTTTTGTTTTTAACTACACCTGCATGTCTTTAAAGGCAAGACGCATTTTCATAGCAAATGTGGGTGATGTTTCTGCGAGCTCTGCCTCCTTTTCTCTCTCCCTGGTGTCCCTGCATTCACCAAGGTTTATTCTTCTCGTACATCGGACAAGGTGGCGTTCAGCATGAAGGTGATGCTCAGGCAAACACAACTCGTGTTTTCCTGTGAGGCCAGAGATGTTGGAACAAATTGCTGGTCCCAACTTCACAGGACTGTAACGGCGTAGGGCAGGCACTGCTGTGCTGGAGCAGAATGACTGCTGATTTACACCAATTGATGCAAATTGTGCCTTGGTCCCACACTCTCCTGCCTCTTGATGCCAACTGTGAAGGCTGGGCATCCCTGTGAAGGGAATCAGGGAAACACATCAAGGAAAAAAAGCACTCGTCACTAATCCATCATCTGAAAGGATCCTGAAGTCATGGTGCTGCACTGGGACAGACCTGGAATAGTTCTGCCAGTTGCTTCCGTGTTTCGCTGTTCATCTTCCCTGCAGTGCATTACCCCCACACAGCATCCCTCCATCTCACACAGCATCCATCCCACCCTGCATCCCTCCATCCCATCCCACCCTGCATCCCTCCATCCCATCCTCACACAGCATTGCTCCATCCCACCCTGCATCCCTCCATCCCATCCTCACACAGCATCTCTCCATCCCATCCTCACACAGCACCCCTCCATCCCACCCTGCATCCCTCCATCCCATCTCACACAGCATCCCTCCATCTCACACAGCATCCCTCCATCTCACACAGCATCCATCCTACGCTGCATCCCTCCATCCCATCTCACACAGCATTGCTCCATCCCACCCTGCATCCCTCCATCCCACTCCCCGTGCCCCAACACTGTCTTCTCAGCCCTGCATTGCCTCTCATCTTGGGCTCTCCCTGGGTGCCTGCAAGAAGACCACACAGCTCTTTCAAGGCAGGACTGCCCCATGCAGCTCTTTTAAGGCCAAATGGAGCCTTGATGCAAGTGGGAGGAAAGGCTGAATTAGCACTTTTTTGCTGCCAAGGATAGTTCAGGCTCCGAAACCGTGCCGGTCTCTGTGGTAACCAGAAGCAGCAGCGTTTTGTAACAGGCCTCCTTCCTCTAACCCATTGCACTGCGTTTTGGGAGCGGACCAATGCCCGTGGCCCAGCCCAAACTCCCTGGAGCGGCCATAAGCCCCAGCTCACGTCCAGAGGGGTGCATGCACAGACAGGCCCCACTATTGGGAGCTCTCTCGTACCCTGGTAGCTCGGTTAGCTGGCCAGGCACCACCACAGCAAGGGCTGCAATAGGGATACAAGGAACCAGTGGGGCCGGGAGCTCCAACAAGCCCTGGCCAAGCACAGGAGAAAGGATGGGGGACCCTCAAACCTCTCAGTGCCCATGGGCAGCAGGGGAGCTCAAAGACCACGGCGGCAGCACCATCTCGATGCACACACCGGTTCTGCCATCACAAAACCAAAGATCACTGGATTATCCTCACTCCTTTTCTCTTGTATTATAATTGTTATTATTTGCAAGGGCCTCAACAGAGGAAGCGTGCGGGAAGGGCTGTGCCCCTCCAGCACAAAGCAGTGCCCAAGTCCTCTCCACTTGTCTGCCTGCGCTATGAAATGAGCTCCTCTCGGTTAAAGGCACCCCCAAAATTTCCCCACTCCCCCTGAGGGAGCAGGGCGCGCTGCTTTGCATTGCTCTCTGCAGAGGCACAGCAACCACTGTTTGAACTGAGAGGAAAAAAAGTAAAAGCAAGACCTCGCTGCTCCCCTTGGGGAAAGGATGGGAGCACAGCCTGCGTGACAGGCATCAGTCACGTTGTTCGGCACGCGACAGCGAGATGCTTGGGTACCACTGGTGATGGGTGCTGTGTGAGCCCCTCCAAAGCCAGCAGCCCATGATTTTGCTGCCGGGGCAATGGGGCCATCCCTCAGGTGTGCTCCCAGCCACGCAGTCCCCAGGACCGCAGGTTTGCTGCCTGCATAGCACCAGTTTAACACAGAAAACCTGGTCCGGTATTGCTGCAGCTAGAGCCCAGGCTGCTAGATGGGCTTCCCTATAGATTCATCAAGCAATTTTCCCTGCCAGCGAGCAAGGAAAGCAGCACCCAGCTTGCCATAGGCGTTCTTCACACCTGAGTGTGTGGCAAAGGTTTACAGGTTGGGAAGGAAGAGCAGTGGTGGACAGTAAAATACCAGCACTGAGTCAATCTGCATCCAGCAAAAACAGGACTGATGGTGCCCTCTGAATAAACGTCCTCCAGACAACCACTTGGGTGACAGGAGAGAGGTGAAACGGAGCCTGGACTTCAGGTAAACCTGCTCTTGGTTTTTGGGACAGGGAGCAGGACAGAGCAAACCGGAGCCACCCCCAGCCCAACAACGAAATGCACTCCCCCGCCTTCATTTAGTGAGTAACTATTTCCTTTGTTTTAATTGTGAAGGGAACGGTTTTAAGTCATTAGAAACGTGGATGGCAAGTGTCATCTCCACGGCAACACACCACATCCCCAGAAACGCGTTCACACAGCTCTCAAGACATCGGATCGGTGTGGAGAGCAGGCTCTGCATCCACAGCGGCGCCTCCAGCATCGCCACAGCACACAGAAAGCCATCACCCAGTGAACGTACACCAGCTCCTAAACCAGCAGAACTGCACAAAGGAATCCGGATAATGGTGAGTTAGGGATTGTGGAGCAGTTTTACAGTGGGAAACGGCATCACAAAAAGGCTTTCCAAGATCTATTGATGGGAATGTTTGGTGAGAGGCAGGAAGGAACTCTCCTGCTGTACTTGGTACCGCAAGGCCTTGGCGGGGCTGCTGTGTGCAGCCCGGGGCACCACTTCTTTACAGAGCATGTGAAAATACCACAGAGAGTCCCAAGGAAACATCACAAGGACGGCTGAAGAGCTGGAAAATGCGATTTACAAGTAAAGTTTCCCATTTCCCTTCCATCTCTGTGCACTGGTTTAACACAGCTAGCACAACTTGCTCCTGCCTTCATGCTGAACAAGCTTCTGCGTTCTTAATTTCTCAAAAACAGGTATGACTAAAGCCTTTGATCGCTTTGGTTAAATCTTATGAGCCCCTTTCCAAATCCATCCACCTAAACTTTTCAAAGGGTTTCTGTATGGCTGGGATCAGCTCATCTTTCTTTGTATCTGGAATAAAAAGGCCAACAGGACCCAGCCTGTGTCTCCTCTTCTTCGATAG